GCAAGGCCGCTGAAATTTACTCAGCACTTTCATAAGAAAAAAGTTCTAATTAAGACACTGTAAAACAGGAAGTTTTGAAAGCTTATGAGCTAGTGCCAGAAGCATATAGACAGAAATTTAGGTCTTATAAAATGTTTGATCCACAAACCTATGTTGAATTTGCTAGGGAAAAAGAAGATCTATTTGATAAATGGCTTACGTCAAAGAAAATAGATAACAATTTTGATAATATAAGACAATTGATGTTATTAGAAGAGTTCAAGCAGTGTGTTCATTTAGACTTAAAAACACATTTAGATGACAAAACTGTTGAGACATTACAAGATGCAGTTATTATTTCCGATAATTATACCCTTTCACATAAAAGGTAAAAAAGGAAATTACAAAAATCAAAATACTGAGCGTACTGATAGTAAGCCTGTTGCACAGAATAAAGTCAATCCAGTAATAATATGTCTAGTCCAAAATTTGATCTTTTGAGAAGAAGTCACTGACTTGTGCTTATTGTAAGAAAAATGGTCACCTGATGGCTGATTGTTTTAGACTCCAGAAGAAGAATGAAAGAAATAATAAACCCAAGTCCAGTGCTTGTACGACACCCCTTGTTACCAATAAGTTGGAATGTCCTGCAAGTCAGGCTTTTAAGTCCAGTTTTTGTGATTACATGAAGGATTATAAACCCTTTATGTCTGATGGGTTTGTTTCTATTGTTGATAATACTACTCCTCAGCCTATTAAGATTTTACGGGACACTGGAGCTTCTCAGACTTTGTTGTTAGAAGGTGTATTGCCTTTGTCCGAGGAGACTTCCGTTGGTGCCTCCGTTTTGTTACAAGGTGTTGAGTTAGGTTGTATAGATGTTCCCCTCCATCGTATTTATTTGAAGTCAGATTTGATTACTGGACCAGTTGTAGTGGGTGTTCGTCCTAATTTTCCTGTTGAGGATGTTTCATTATTGCTAGGAAATGATCTAGCTAGGAACAAAGTGGTTGCTGAACCAATTGTTACCAGTGAACCGGTGGTGGATGTTAAATCACATGAAGATGATGCTGAACTGTATCCAGCTTGTGTTGTTACTAGGGCAATGGCAAGAAAACAACAGAATGAGGATTTACAAGACGAGCAGTATGATTATATGGACCTTTCTGACACTTTCCTTGCCGACATTGACGGTTCCTGTGGCTCAGAAAAGGCCATAATAAAACCACCTAGTTTTAACAAGCATGTACTAGTAATTATGCCATGGCCAGACATGAACAGCCATTCATTAGACAGAAGAAAATTTGTGGAAGAACAAAATAAAGACCCTGAGGTTCTTCATTTCACAAGAGGGCCCAACCACAGGAGGAAGCAGACAAAGTGGCCGAATGTTACTATCATCAAGACGGCATTTTAATGAGGAAGTGGATGCCCCTTATGCTACCCCAGAGGAGGAATGGAGATTGGTATACCAAGTGGTGGTGCCTAAAGTCTATAGGCAAGAACTAATTGGTTTTGCCCATGACACCCTTTTGACTGGACACTTAGGTATAAGGAAGACTTGCCTTAAAATCTTGCAGCATTTCTATTAGCCCAGACTAAGAAATGATGTCACAGAATACTGCAAATCATGTCATATATGCCAGGTTGTTGGTAAGCCTAACCAGAAAATACCACCAGCATCACTTCTGCCAATTCCAGCCTTTGTAGAACCTTTCAGTCGAGTACTAATTGATTGCGTTGGACCTTTACCAAAGACCAAGACTGGAAATGCGTATTTATTGACGATCATGTGTACATCCACTCGCTTTCCTGAGGCTATTCCGTTAAGGAATATCAAGACACCAACTATTGTCAAAGCTCTTATCAAATTTTTCACGTTAGTAGGAATTCCTAAGTCTACACAGTCCGACCAGGGTTCAAATTTCATGTCAGGTTTATTTCAGCAGGTCGTTTACCAGTTAGGGATTGCTCAATATAGATCAAGTGCTTATTATTCAGAATCTCAAGGTGCCTTAGAACGTTTTTATCAAACACTAAAGAACATGATTAGAACTTTTTGTCTTCAATTTGACAGGGACTGGGATTATGGTGTTCACTTTCTACTTTTTGCGGTCCGAGAGGCTGTTCAAGAATCCCTTGGTTTTAGTTCCTTTGAGTTGGTATTTGGTCATACCGTAAGGGGACTTTTGTATAGGTTAAGGAAAAATGGCTTACTGAAGACACTGACTTGAATCTACTAGACTATGTATCTAGATTTAAAGAAAAATTGTATACTGCTTGTCAAATTGCTCAGAAAAACTGTACAGAATAAGATGAAAATATGGTATGATCAAGATGCCAGGGACAGATTTTTTTAGCCTGGTGGTCAGGTACTTGTATTTTTGCCAGTCCCTGGACATCCTTTACAGGCTAAATACTGTGGTCCTTATACAATAGAGAGTAAAATCAATGATTTGAATTATATTGTAAAAACTCCAGGTCGGCGCAAACAAAATAGAGTGTGTCATATTAATATGTTAAAACCATATTTTGAGCGTACTAATGAAGGTGAGAGCAAACCAGTTGCCACTTTAGCCATGATTAAATAGGAGAATGAGCATGACAAACCAGATATAACTGAACCATCTTTTGATTCTAAGACTATTGAACAATCAGTTAGATTGAAAAATTCAGAAATTTTGTCAAATTTAGACTCAAAACTTGCACATCTGACTTTTGATCGTAGAGAAAAATTGAAAACTTTGGTATTTTCTTTTAAAAATCTTTTTCCAGATGTGCCAAACAAAATCACTGCTGTTTGTTATGATGTTGATGTAGGCAATGCTTCTCCAATTAAACAACATCCTTACCGGCTCAATCCACTAAAACTTGATTTTATGAGACAAGAAATTAGATATATGCTTGACAATGATATTATTGAGCCGAGTAACAGTGAATGGAGCTCTCATTGTCTCCTTGTGCCCAAACCAGATAAAACCATTCGTTTCGTGACTGATTTCAGAAAAGTAAATTCAGTTTCAAAATCTGATTCCTATCCGATTCCAAGGATAGACGATTGCATTGATAATATTGGACAAGTAAGATTTGTGAGCAAATTCGATTTATTGAAAGGTTACTGGCAAGTACCATTGACACAGAGAGCTCGTGAAATATCAGCTTTTGTTACTCCAGATGGCTTATTTCAATATACTGTCATGCCGTTTGGTATGAAAAGTGCTCCTAAGACTAGCTACATTTCAAAGAATGATCAATAATGTAATAAAAGATTTAGACTGTTGTTATGCTTATATTGATGATCTTATTGTATGTAGTGATAGCTGGGAAGAGTATTTAACGCATTTATATGATACTTTTGATAGATTGTCACAATCCAATTTGACTGTTAATCTTGGTAAAAGTGAATTTTGTCAGGCCAATGTTGATTATTTAGGGCATACAGTTGGTCAAGGTCAAGCGAAACCTATAATGGCTAAAGTGGATGCAATCACCAAGTTTCCTCCTCCTACAAATAAAAAACTTAGGCATGATTGGTTTTTACAGAAAATTTTGTTCAAATTTTGCTACTGTTGTTCAACCATTGACTCATCTTTTACGGAAAGATTCTAAATTCATATGGAGTGATAATTGTCAAAACGCTTTTGAAAATAGCAAATCCCTTTAAAGTAACAGTCCTATTATCACTCCAGACTTTGAAAAGCAATTCAAACTTGCCGTTGACGCAAGTGATGTAGGAGTTGGAGCCGTTTTATATCAAGAAACAGATAATAATGTTGAGAAACCTATTTCATATTTTTCCAAGAAATTGGATAAACATCAGAAAAATTATTCAACTATTGAAAACGAGTGTATGGCACTGTTGTCAGCACTTCAACATTTTGATGTATATTTAAATCCCACTATGCATCCTATTCTTGTTTATACTGATCATAATCCTCTCACCTTCATACAAAAATTGAGAAACAAGAACCAGAGGTTGACTAGGTGGAGTTTATTGTTACAGGAATATGATGTTATTGTGAAACATATTAAAGGTAAAGACAATGTAATAGCAGATGCTTTATCTAGATCTTATTAAAACACTGTATACATACAATATATTTTTGTATATATTGTTCATGAAAAGTTCTTATTACACTCAAATTTTTTAAGGGGGGGGGGGGGGATGTTATGATATTGTAACTATCATGTTTATTTATCTTGGCCTAATTTGTTTTGTGTGGCCTTATAACTTGTATAATATGTTTACATAATATTTATAGTTGTTTACAAAATAATGTTATAACTGTGCAGTTTAGAAATCACTGGAACAATCATAGATACTGATGGAATGATTAGAACTTTCTATTTGACTTACATAATGATTCTAGAATGACCATTAACTACGATGTGTACTTTTAACTTCTACTAACGTATATTCTAGAAGTTTCCGTTCTAAAGTTTTCTAGGAGTTGCCCTTCTACAGTGTTCTAGAGGTTTCCGTGACAGCTATATATATACCGAAACCGAAATTGGACAGATCAGACATAAATGTATTTGCATTGGATTCTCAAAAGATCTCTGGAGTTGTTGGATTGACACTTTTATTTACGTTAACTACATCATACTAGATTGTGAACTTATTGGACACATTCGATTACAGTTAGAGAAGAATTCCGGATAAAGAAAAGACAAAGGATCGGACATATAATTTAATAGTTAAGTTGACATTTCTATTTGTGTAATATTTCTTGTAAAATTGTATAATACATCTTGATAAATTTTATTATTGATTTGTGTCTTTTGTTGGCTACAATTTTAAGGTTATTTCTGGCCGTAACAGTATTTACACATCGCTCACATCTAAAGGACGCCTTTTTTTAAGTATGTTTTTTTTTACATGAATATCATTGATATGTTATTTTTTTATTAAATTTTCTGTTTATATTGAATTGTTCGAAACACTATAACACATGGAGCGAAATGTTTTTATTTTTTTCACACCGTTATTTTTAATATAGAGTCCATTTTTAACACCGCAGGTTGGAAACTATCAACATTAAAAGATGAACTTGATCAAGTACAACAAGAACAGAAAGCAATACAAATTAAAATTGGAGACATGGATCAGTTATTATCAAAAAAAGCAGGGATAGAGGAATTGGCTGAAATAAAAAATCAACTACTCAAAACACATGAAAAAGGTTTGGAGTTAAATTAGATATGTAACTCATATTTTGTGGAGACTTGAAACCAAACGGTTTAGAAAGTGTGGATAGAAAAGACTCCAGCTCTCTTTATTTCTTTTGAAATCTAAAATTTATCAAAAGTTTAACGTTTATTTTTGCTTCACATTCAATTATGATTATTATTATATATTTTGGTAAACTATGATTAGAAGATGACTCTTAAATCGTTGAGAATGGGTTTAACAGGAAATCATTTCTGGCATTTTTCATGCCTTGTGTTTTTGTTCACCTAATCATTGAATTGTTTCTGTCATATAAACTGCAATATATGTGGAATTAGATACAAATGTATGCTCAATATCACATTATACCAGGGAAGCTCCATCCGTCCATCTTTCTTGGAATCTGCCAGTTTGCTTGTCATCATCATCTTTTGTTTTATGTTCGTTATGAGTTAAATTTTTCGGTCCTTTCTTGTCATTTTGTCTAGTTTGGAAACGAGTGAGTACTGTTGTTATGTCGTGTCCTCCCGACTTTTATGATCAATAGTTTACCTAAGGATATTAACAGAATGGTAAACTTACATCTTTATAAAAAAGAAATAATGATTTTTAGTTTTATTAAAGAATTGTTAATATTATTAAAGTTTTTTTTTAGTTTTAATAAACATGTTAAATGCTTAAATTGATATCTTAAGAACCATTGTTTTTTTTCACCACTTGATTATTGATAGACATTGCCTGTTGTTTGCCTAACTTCAGGTGTCAAATATTTTTATGTATATTCAGGACGAGAAAAATAAACAAGGATTCAAAAAGGTAGGTGCGGGTCGACTGAGATAACGGTCTGAACTTTCGAATGCTATTGGTATTAGGGTATGTTGATAAAGGTCGAAAATATTTGTCCGAAAAAATCCACAAAAAAGTTGCAAAAAAAAGGCATCGAATTTACGCCCCTAATCCGACCAAAAAAAAGCAGCGGATTTATACATCCCTCCACAGCCAAAAGGACGCCATTCTTTAGCATAAGTTTGATTAGTCAAGCGTAGACGATATACACTAGAACCCGCATGTTCATGTTTAGTATTATTTTTGGCACTTTTTGTAAAAATGTATTTGTAGTTATCCCACGCATGCACAGCAGTAAGTAATCATAAAAACATATGATGGATAACTTGATACCCACAGAAGAAGGATAGGAAGGGGGAAACAATGGAATTTGCCACTTGGAATAGATTTTATTTCTTTAGCAATACTACAAATGAACATGTGTAATTGGTATAATGAAATGCCTCAAAGATATTAAAAGAAAAAATCAAACTAAAAAGAAAGTGTGAATTTTTCACATCATAATTGTTAATGTATAGTCTATTTTTGTCTCTCCAGGCCTTGAAGGGGAAAAGAAACTATCAACTTTAGAAGGTAAACTTGATCAATTAAAACTTGATAGTAAAGAAGAAATGAAAGCAATACAAGTTAAAATTAATGACATGGAGCAATTATTATCAACAAAAGCAGGGATAGAAAAATTGGCTGAGATAGAAAAGCAACAACTCAAAGCACAGGAAAAAGGTTTGAAGCTATTATTTAGAAATGTAATTTAAATTAGAGCATATTTTTCATGGCGACATAATCAAAGATTGTTCTATTTACGGAAATTTAGAGTTTGTTGATATCACTAAATTCTGTTTTGTTTGTCTTTTTCATTTTTAGTCATGTCGTTGTCATTTTATTTTCGACGTAAGAGTTTGAATGTCCCTTTGGTAACCTTCGCTTCTCTTTTGATAAGAACTGAGATTTTGGCTCGCCAAAAAAACTCCACAAATTGTTGTTGCAACGGTTCTTCATCGTGCAGCCAGTGTAGAACTATCCCTTACTAAACTTGACTATGGAGTATTTTCTTTTAAAAAAATGAGTCCGATGTCCAGCCTGTAACCAATATGGCTGCCAACACTAAAAATAGCACATAATAGGTCAAATGCAAGTATTGTCTATTATCTAATAAACAGTTATAAATGTAAAAATCCGACAGGGGAAAAGGTGTTCAGAATGTCGAGATCTATCTACTGTCCATTTTGAAGAAAAAGTGTCCTTACTTTATTTACAAGTCCTTCAGAATTATGAAACAAATTGGTATTGGTTTTGACAAGTATTCCAAGAAGTCAATATTTAAAAAAAAAATTATATTTTGCAAAAGATGGTTGAACTTTTTTATTATATTGTAGAAGAATTAGATTTTGTTTCTTCATACTGTCCTTTAATGATAAAATAATTTTCCCTGCCCCTGCATTATACTACTTAAATAAGAAAGATTTTCGCCAGACATATCAAATGCAAAGCAGGCATATATTTTCTTTTTATTCTTATGCAAGTATTTATATATTCAAGAGTTTAGAACAAAACTATCAGAAGGTCTTTATTTTTTTCTGAAGCCAAATTGACTACTGCTGATAGAATTTACCATCAATCTTTGATTTAATACAGCATCAAACATCATTGGGAGAGCAGCGTATCTTTTACCTATTGTGTCTGATTGTTTTGTTCACACATTGTTGTCAATAAAGTGGAGTTCTATGCGAATGTCATACAAGTGAGAGGTTTACCAAGCTATAAACCCAGTTTTATCAAGCATTTTCTACATAAGAAAATGCCTGTACCAAGTCAGGAATATGACAGTTGTTTTCCATTCGTTAGATGTGTGTGAGCTTTTGATTTTACCATTTTAAAAAGGACTTTCCGTTTTGAATTTTCCTTGGAGTTTTGTATTTTTTTTGGTTTTTTTACTTTTTTTAGATATAATTCTATATAGTTATTTTGATGACATATTCCCATCCTGATTTATACAGTTAAATCAAATATGAGTATATTAGTATTGACGGATACATACATTCAAAACTAGATTAAACAGTGACAAAGATTTTTTTTATTTAATTCCACTATTTCAATAATAATGGTATCTTGTCCAGGGATTTTTCTTTTTTAGCTCACCTGGCCCGTAGGGCCAAGTGAGCTTTTCTCATTACTTAGCTTCCGTCGTCCGTCGTCGTCGTCGTTAACTTTTACAAAAATCTTCTCCTCTGAAATTACGGGCCCAAATTTAATCAAACTTGGCCACAATCATCATTAGTGTATCTAGTTTAAAAAATGTGTCCGATGACCCCACTTGCTAACCAACATGGCCGACATGGCTAAATATAGAACATAGGAGTAAAATGCATTATAAAAAGGCTTATATCTCTAAAACTAAAGCATTTAGAGCAAATCTGACATGGATAAAAATGTTCATCAGTTTTAGATCTATCTGCCCTGAAATTTTCAGACGAATCAGACAACCCGTTGTTGGGTTGCTGCCCCTGAATTGGTAATTTTGAGGAAATTTTGCAATTTTGGTTATTATCTTTAATATTATTATATATAGAGATAAACTGTAAACAGCAATAATTTTCAGCAAAGTACGATCTACAAATAAGTCAATATGACAAAAATTTTCAATTGACCCCTTAAGGAGTTATAGCCCTTTATAGTCAAATTTTTAACAATTTTTTTCGTAAATTTTTGTAATCTTTTTTCAATAGGTTATCTTGATTGAAAAATGTATCCGATGACCCTGCCATCCAACCAACATGGCCGCCATGGCAAAAAAAAAGAACATAGGGATTTACTATAGAAGTCTAAGGGAAAATTGTAAAAAAAAAAATCTCAAATGGTCACAACTTGAAAACTAATTTGAATAATTTGAATACACGATTTCCAAAACCACAGTAGATACAGGTGAGCGACACAGCCTCTTGAGAGCCTCTAGTTTAGTTTATTTATACATGTAATGTTGTATGGCATGATCATGATGATATGTTAAGGGAGTCTTTTCAATATAAGCAATCTTTTTCTATTTCGAATTTTAATTTTATATTTACAAATTACGGGTTTCCTTGATTTTGAATATGGTTGGTAATTACTTTGTCATCTCTTAAAATTTCTGGTGCTTCATTATTATCGTTATTTGTATTCTTCATATCTTTAAGAATATCCCAATAATTAAAAGTATCTGTCAATGAGTTAAATATCTTCTCTCTGTACTGTGCTTTATTTCAATTTCACTAAGTTTTAATATCTTTAAAACAATTTAGAATATTTTTGTTAAAGTTGAGTATTTGGATCATCCAACCAAATTTTATTTCTCTTTCAGTCTCATAAACTGACTATAAATGTCTTTATTTTTTTTATTTTAAAAGTTTTGTTATTTTACAACTATCTCTGAGATATTTTCAAACATATTAGTTAACTTTTCTGCTGCATCATCAACCTCCCTCTGATTTCCCTCGTAATCATTTAGTTCATAATTTATCATTTCACTTTTTTTTTTTTTTATAAAAATAAGAGCTTTTAGGAGCAAATTTTGTGAATTATACGTATTGTATACGTCTTCCTTACTTATGTATCTCTTAAAATCTTTCCATATGTTTTCTATGTGACTATTAAGATCAAAGACCTGTGTTTAACATTATAATTTAAAGTTAACTAAATTTAAACATGATCTGACATGCAAGTACAAATCTCGGTTTTATAATATTTTACTGAGAGCAGAAGACTTTTGAGATTTACTGCATAATCCACATAACTGTAACCATTTACTGATATATAAGTAAAGTAACATAAACTGTCCCAGATAAGTCATTTAATATTCACAGCCTTGAGGCAGTACACAATTCTAATCGAGTTTTACTATTAATTTCAGCGTCCACTTCATAATAGTCTGGTAATGAGATTTTCAGCATCATAATTATTCATTGGATAGAAATAACTAGACATTGACTAGTCCTTGCATTCATGTCTCCCATTTGAAGTATGTTCCCCTGTACTGCAAGAAGTACTTATCTCATTTTGTAGCAAGTTGTAACTTATTTTGAAAGTTATGGGGGTACATATATTGCACACAAATTCAAATATTCATTTAAATAAAAAAAATCTTTTTAAAGTTTTTGCCACGATCTGTTTTGTAATTTTGTACCATATATAGTGGTTATACCTTTTGATATTTCTTTTTTTATAGTATATATTTGATGTTATGTATTTCATGTATTTGTTTGTGCTCTTTTGTTTATATATATATATTCTTTTCGTTTTTTGTGTTTGTTACAGCTGTCAACAGTATAATCATATGCGAAAGAAATTCGGCCTTTATCGTATGTAATTCGCACATTAGTATACTGGAAGCTATATACGGACGTCAAACAGATGCAAATATTTGTCCAACGTTGGTAAAAACCAGCAACTGTAGGTCATCTGCGTCCGATGGTAGGGTGAAACACCAGTGCAATGGGAAAAGTATATGTGAACTAACGGCAAGTAATCAGCAATTTGGTGATCCCTGTATCGGAGTTGGCAAGTATCTAGAGGTCAAATATACATGCACATAGCTGGAAACATTAACTGTTTTTTTAGACTGTGAGGTTTATTCAGTTATAACAACACAAGTGCATTAAAATAATATTGTCAACGTATTACTTTTCATAAGAATGTAAAGGAGAGTGAATGCGTACTGATGAAAAAACGGTTTTATCCTTCAATCCATAATCATATAAATACCTCATGTAGGGCTAGTCTTATTCATACTCTAAATACTAGTACACGTTTGTCAGACAAACAATTAACTGCCCAAGGAATAGATTACCTTAGCTGTATTTGACAAAACTTTTAGGAATTGTTGGTCCTCAATGCTATTCAACTTCGTACTTTGTTTGGCCTAATGAGTCTATTTTTTAGAAGAAACGCGCGTCTGGCGTACACAATGTCAACCCTGGTATCTATGATGAGTTTATTTATCATTAATTCATTTTATATGAATGATACAAATAGGAACCATCAAAAACCTTTAGTCGCAGAAATACGGATAGACCATAGTCAAAAGAGCGAAACACGTAGATAAAAAATTCAAACACCGAAAAAATTGTTTAACAGGAACCCCGCCAGTTACTCTAGAGGGGTCAATAGTTCTTACTTAACTAGTGGTAATCGTACGATTCGTTTTACTCCTGATGACATTTGTTGGTGAGTAAGTTAAACAGTTTGGTGCATTTGATCATACCAAATTATCTAAACAATAGATAATTTTGTGACAAGGCACATTACGTTATCTTTTTTGAAATGCATATAGTATTTAATTCGCAAGTAAAGGAAAACACGTGTTTAATTATTGTATACGTCTCTGTTCCTATTCTAATGCTCATTAAGGGAAATTGCATTCTGTCTCATTTTGCTATTATAATTTAAAATGTTGTTTTAATTTTAGTTATTTTACAGTTATGTAATAGTGTTCTTCTTCAACAGAGTATTACAAATAATTCATTAGTTTTAGAGAAGTCCTTAAATATCTTCCTTTTTTTGTTATTTCAGTATGCTTATTGAGTATTTGGGTTTTAGTGACCATTTTTGCCAATGAAAACAGCGAACTCATTGTGTTTTTAAATCACCGTTTTTTTTTAAATAAAGAATTAACAGCAAATGAGCCACTTCGATCTGTCAAATATCTGACAAAGCGGTTCCAATAGTAGTTTTAGTAATTTACGAGTTACATCCCTTTGTTGCCACTTAAAACTCATGTGTACTGTTATTGTTTTAGCACCATATGCTGTTATTTTCTAGTGAACATAATTAAAATATTTTATAACCTTTTCACTAAATATGATTAATTATTCTTTTATACTTTTTTGTTAACATATTTTATCATTTTCAAAACAGTTCCAGGAAAAAGGAGTATTCATTTACCTGGTACATAATAAATCATACCCAGAGATACTTTACTATTTTAGTATGTATTTTAAATTTACTGTTTACCCGAACAATTCTAAAAACGAAATGAAAACAACACGTTGTAAATTTAATGCGCCCGAAACGCTTTTCTGGGTACCGTTTCACAAAGCCTTCGTAAGTCTACGTGTCATCGTACGTCCATCGTAAATAGATCGTAGGTTTTACAGCCGTTTCACAAAGCCGTCGTAAGTTAAGATGATCGTAAAAAATACGTAATTCCTGGCGTAACTTACTACAGCTATAACCAGTCGTATCTCGATCGTAATTTTCGCGAACATGAATTAAACCATATCTAGGATGGCTGCAGCGTTCTTTATTCTCGATCAAGATGCCGCAAATGTTAGAAGACGAACATGACGAAGAAGAATCTTCATTATTAGAACCACACTTTTTCATTTGATCATTTTGAAAATGAAATGGATATTATATCCAGATACAGACTGGAAAGACACAGTATCAATGAAATAACATTGGCAATAGAACCAGATATAAAACATGATACAAATAGGTCCTATGCACTTACTCCTGAAACGCAGGTTTTGTTAGCTTTGCGCTACTACGCCAAAAAGGGAGGGGGGGGGGGGGTCCTATCAGAAGTGGCCGACTAACATGGCGTTAGTAGGGCAAGTGCTAGTAGATGCATTACATCCGTTAGCACTTCCATAGTAAGGAGGTTGGGCCATTTGATGAATTTTCCTGTCCAAGAATTACAAAAAAACTAAGGAAGAGTTTCATGACATTGTTGTAGTCCAAATAATTATGACGTCTTGAAAGGCTATTTTATTTTTTTGCTTTGACGCCTTCCTGCACTTTATTCTTTTGCTTTGACGCCTTCCTACGCAGGAAGGCGTCAAAGTAAAAAAATAAAATAGCCTTTCAGACGTCATAATTATTTGGACTAGACATTGTTGTTGGTGCCATATTCATAGATGGAACATTAATACCAATAATAGCCCCAAAGGATGAAGAGCCAGCATTTGTTTGTCGCAAGCAGTTCCATGCCTTGAATATGCAAGCAGTATGTGATGCAAATCTTATACTATTAATCACTTTTAACTCATCTTATTCCCTTCCCGGCTTCCGTCTAAACAATGTACTAAATAGGCTTTCTATCGCGTCCGCGTTCTGATATCTGTTTATTATCATATCACTACAGGCACAGTGGTAATCGACAAAACGTTTAAAGGAGGATGTTTTGTTCCCATTAAAAGAGCTCACAATGAACATATTAATACAATGTATATCATTATTTTTTACAAATAATACACCAAAACAATATACAAAGTTACAATAATTATACACATTAAAACGCCACAGTTTTAAAAATTAAAACTACACTGGTAGATAATATTTTTTGTATCTACTTTTTTTGGAACTAAAATAACTCTGTCTTTGTGTCTTTGGCACTCATCTGCAGTAGAGAAAAATAAATGAAAACTACATATTGAATATGCCCCCGTGGCCCGTATGCATGCATGGAGATAGGTTTGCATACATTATATTTAGCAAACAGTAATACAAAAGTAAAACGTAAACTGGTTGTGTATACACGTAAGACACCTCAGGTCAAACTTTCTTAGCTCTTGGAATAGTCGTGCCCTTTAAAAAAGTAAACTTCTGGATTTCGGGGTAAAATTTAATTAGATCCGGGAATTTGTGAACTGGGAGTATTGCAAGGGATCATTGTAATACTGAAAAATCGAATTAAAATTTTTAAAGAAAACAAATCATTAGACACCTCCTAGTCCGATAATGCTATGACGTTTGACGACCTTGATTTTTGGCAAATTTATTCAGGGGTTGAGAAGTCTCATTTCCTTTTATTTATCTTACATTATCTAATTTATGGTATTGCACAAGCTGGACTATAAAATGGATTCAAAGACCTTTAACGTTAATTTATAAAAAGGTATTATTTTCCTATATTCATGCCACACTTAAATCCTACTGTAATAGTTTGCACATGTATATATAATTTGAAATAAGTTTGAAATAAAATCACAAATAATTATAAATACTTGTGAACATATAAAATAAATAAGAATATGTATGTGGTATGAGTGTCAATGAGACAACTCCCCATCCAAGTCACAACGAATTTAACAGTTTAATCTATTTACAAAACGAGAAACAAGAAACATCTATGAAACTCACAAACAACCGACAACCACTGAACAACAGACTCCTGACTCCTTGCATTTAATATATGCAGCGGGTTTGAACGTTTTAACAGGCGCCAAAATTCACCCTAACCTAAAAACACGGCTGTCGTCGGTATATCGAGAAAATAATCGCAAAGGAATACCTAACGGTGGTCAAGCATTGCGCTCGGATCATGAAAGATCGGGTATCGGGTCGTGAATGTAATTAATTGTAATTCTACTTCAAAATCGATGAAAAATCTGCTGCATTTTCAAAACGTGGAACAAATCCGAAAAAAAAAATGTCTGTCAAAATGGTTCAACTTTCTCAATAAAAATGTGCAATAAGATAAAGAAAACACAAGTATATGGGATTCATTAAAAAAAAAACACACGTTTTGTACCTATAATGGTCACATTCCAATATATATTGATATATTTGAAACCGAAACTTTGGTGTGTCAGATAGTACAGTAAAATAAAAGTTTTTTTTCTTGAAACCGTTCATTTTGTTTTTGAAAACATTGAATTTTGTTGATTTTTCATCAAAATTGATCGTGAAAGATCTGGCAACGGAATATCTTGATCGTGAAAGACAAAGTTTGACCAGACTGACGCAGAACGTTTGCGCCTTTTTACGTGTAACTCTAAAGGACATTCGCGCTTTAAGCTTTGATACACCTGAACAAAATTGACAAGACGTTTACGCTTTTTACCTATGAAAGTTTATCTGTAATCTTTCCAAAATTTACCAAAGTCATGGAAAGATGTTCACATATTCTTTGAAAGTTCTTCCGAACAAACGACAAATTCAGAATGAAATATTCGGGTAAACCAGGCATAGTATATAAAATATAGAATACGTTTCTCGTTTAATGATAGAGAAAACAAAACTTTTATGGATGGAACATTTAAATTTTGGCCGAAATTCTTCAATTAGCTTTCTTATTAGTGGATTAAAATTGGAAACCATATTCCTCTTGTGGTTATTCTGTTGAATGAATAGTTCAAGGAACTGTATCAACATAGTTATTCTAAGCTTGTTTCAATTTGTGAAGACCGAAATTGTATTTTAAAACCACCTGCTGTACCTTTTAGAAAGAGTCATGGTTATTTTTAGGAATTTACTCTACTCCAGTTTCTTGGAGTGTTGTCGTTTTCATCTGACGCAAGCATGATGGGAAAAGGTTGATTCTTGTAGCTGTATATAAATATATGAATGTTTTTTTTTATATTAAATGAATTTTTATGTTCTGTTGATAAAGCGCAAATGTCCTATTGAAAAAGCGCAAATGTCCTACAAATGTAAGAGCAAATGTCCATTTAAAAAAAGCGCAAATGTCCATTAAAAAAAATCTCAAATGTCCATTAAAAAAATTCGCAAATGTACATTAAAACAAGCGCAAATGTACTATCAAAAAGCGCAAACGTCCCGCGCCAGCCAGACTTAATAATCAGAAAACAATATTTCTTTTATCAGTTGATATACTTGCAACTAGTTGAAACGTGTAATTAATTTAATAAGAACGAACATTAATGCTTTCATTTTTTTTCCACTTTTTTTTTAATTCAACACTTTTCCTTAAAAGTTATTAGAATAACTAAAAACGTGTCAAAATAAATAGATTTTCAAAATAAGATTTCCGTCATAAAAGTATACACTAGAAGTTATCAATAATGCTTAATGCATCCGCCCTGGAAATATATGCATATGTATGCATTTTGTGTTTTTTTTTATTGCGTAAGGGTTGTTACTTTCAGTTATATGGAGTGTCGTTCGTGTTTACATCGTATGACAATATTGGCTAATTTATTTTTTATTTCGTGGCTGCGCTGACATAAACTAATTATAAGAAGGTGCCAAGATAGCGTTATTTTTACTTGATTGTTTGATCAGTCTGTTCACAATAGCTATACGTCATTGTACCAACTTAGTGGGGAAATTACCACTCAACGTACCTGGCGATCGATTGTGCATGATGCCCAGCTTGAACTGTAAAAATTGAAAACAACACGTTTAATAATTTCATGCGTCCGAAGCGCTTTTCTTGATTTACCTTCACCAGGAAAGCTCAAAGCCAAACATTTGAAATCCGAGTCATGTATAAGTACCGAAACAGTTGAAGAGCTAAATGACAAAAATAATTTAGCCGATTAGGTTTTTTTCTTATGAAGGACGGACAAATAGACTGATATTGCTATGAAGCACCTAGTCGGTGTGGTTTTATAAGATAATCAGATCCAATGGCATTGAACGTTTATAGCCCTATTCACCAACAAAAGAGAACCGGAGTGAATCATGCAAATCCAATATTTGATATACTAATTGAAATATAAATTATCATATAATTGAATAATGATTTTAACGTTTTTGTAGCATCAAATTTTTCACGACCCTTTTCACGATCTTCAAAAAGTGGTACGCGATCTTTCACGATCTAAAAAAATCTTTTGTTTTTGTAAATATTTCATTTTTTGATTATGCTAATACGAACTAACTTTAAGAACCATCTGAATCATTAAAATGGAATGACGTTTTTCATTGAAAAGTTGTTTAGTCATTCGAATTATGACAAAATCTTGTTTGTTTACATATTTAATGTCATGGAAATGCCAAGGAGCAACCAGCCTTTTGTAGTTTTGTCAAATCTGTTTACTTTTAAACCTTGTTTTTTCTCAGATACTTATCATAATTAATGTTAAACCATTTTGACAGACGGTTTTATTTTTTTGTAAATTTGTCCGTATAAT